TCGAAGTTTTATCGTAGAAATCTGATGCAGTTTTGCACTCATGCTGTTTTGAAACATCTTCCAAAACCTTTTCATCTCGGACTTGATGTCTCAAAATTTGGAGCTTTAAGTTTCACTTCCATTTATTGCATTTTCCTTTTTATTCGGCCGCTTTTGAAGATCGTAATTGCAAAGAAGCAAGAAACTCACATCCATCGTTTAAGTACTGTTATCATGCGGTAACCTCGCCGTTTCTCGGCATTTTTATTATTAACATATAAGCACGAGTTGTTTTGTTAGAGTAGCTCAATGGCTTAGACAGTGCAGGACGAATAGTCATTGCAGATACTCATTAAGTCGTGCAGTTGGTTGGGTGAGTAAATTGTGATGACAATAAGGCTAGTGATAAGCTGCGGAGTGTTGCTATGCCTGAATGTAAATTGGATCTGGAAACACTAAAAATATTCCGCATCAATACTGAGTGTTGTACCTTTTAGAGAGAACTTGTCAGAACTGTGGCCCACCGTTCCTCATTCTTCCCTTTGTTCTCTCAGCATTTTCCCGAAAGTGAGTATACGGCTGAGGTTGTGCACTGTAAAATAGCGGCAAGTCTTGCTTTAAAAGGGAACAAGGTCTGAGAAAATTGGAACTGATGCTAACTTTGTAGACAGCACAAATGTCCGAGTAAAGGTTCTTTTCGCTGGGAGTTCCATCACTTATGCCATAGCCGCTATAATCATACGAGCATACGTTGCAGTTCAAAAATCTGAAAAACAGAGAACAGTAAGTTTTTTTTTATTGACGAAAAACTGGATGTAGGGATTTTTACAAAGAGATTTGGGTGGAAGAGGTGAAAGGTTGCACGAATACCTTGCAGCATCATGTAAATTCGGAAGTCCAATGAGATGATCCGAGATATCGCTGCCGTTTGGATGCGAAAATAGAAGCGTATAGCGAGGCTTTGTTTTGCGCACAAAAACGCATGCAATGTGCTGTAAAATGACTTGTTTGTTTATTTTTTTGCGAAAAGGCATTTTTTGTAATAAATACTAGTGTAGAATATAAAAGAAAATCCGTCGGAATACAACCGAGGAAGCCGGCAGTGCTGATATACTAATGGCAAATGTATGATAAGAAGATTT